GATGGAGTGAACTGGCGCTTCCCTTTTTTGTTTAACTAGTTTCAGCCGCAGCCAGTAAGCGGCCTCGTCAGCGGGAACTTCGAGATGCTTGAAGGATTAGTCTACACCATATTTATACTACTACTAAACTTCCTACTTAGTGCCAGAAAACCCCCGTTCTTACCTTAATCCCCCGGGCCCGTTTTTAGCTTCTGTCCGTGTCCCATATGTAACCGGGACTCAACCGGTCCTGACTAATCCTGGTTCCAGAAGCTACTAGAAAAACCGAGGCTATTGGCGACCCACATCGCCCACTGGTCTGAACCAAGTGCCCACGTAGACCCGGTGCACATGTTTCTTTGATTCTTTTATTTTCCCTACATATGCAAATATAAAAGGAACAAAAAAAAAAAGATAATAATGAAAAGAAAAACCAAAGCCGTTTTCTTTTTTTTTTCTCGTTTTTGATAGACACACATACTGATTGATTGATTGATTGATTGATTGATTGATTGATTGATTGATCAGAAAATAAAAATAAAAATGACGGCGCTAGTTTGTGTGTGTGTAACAAGGGTGTGTGTGTGTGTGTGTGTGGGGGGGGGGGGGGGGGGGGGGGGGGGGGCGGGCGTGCGTCTGGGTGGTGGGTGGGTGTGCGTGCGTGTAGGCGGGTGGTCTTTTCCACGCGGAAAGAAAAGAAAAGAAAAAACGACAAATCGGCCGAGTTCCTGCTTTTGTCTTTTCCGCGGGGAAAGAAAAGAAAGAAAAGAAAGAAAAGAAAAAAAGAGAAACGCATCCCAAGAAAAAAAGAGAAACGCATCCCAACGACAAATCAGCCGCGTTCCTGCTTTGTGGCAAGAAAAGAAAAAAAGAGAAACGTGTCCCAAGAAAAAAAAAAAAAAAACCGACCAAAAGCAGAATTAAAAAAGGGAAAACCGACCGAAACAGAAAATGACACTTTCTTGCTATCCGACGGTGGACGCTTCAAGATATTCCCTTGTACCGACACCCACCGCCGGAGGGCCCTGTGGGCGCGCTCTTTCGTTTTCTGGCGCGCTGTGAACAATTCGGTACGCGCACCTCTCTGCACGCCCGCCCGCCCTCGATCGCCTTCATCCGCCGGCCCGCCTCAAAACTTCAACCCGATTCCGGCGCGCAGTGGAACACCCTCCTCCCCCCGCAAGGAAAAGGAAAAAAAAAAGAAAAAAAGAAAAAAAGAAAAACAAGGAAAAGAATAAGACTACTGTTTCAGAATATTTCTAAGACTATATAGAGGGGACCCCTGCAACCATAGGGCCTTGCAAACGAGGTAATTCATGTTGCCCCCTGCCCCCCAACCAGTGGTAGTCAGAGATATATAGTCTTAGGAGTAGTGGTAGGAAGGTAGTGAAAGGCGGAGGCACAGTGATTGGCCCATCGAATAAAGCACGGTCCTGATGCTCCTTGCTGACCCCTGGCCCGTATCGCCCACCTGCTGTAGCAGGTATAGCACCTGCTGGTGGGTGCACTCATCGAAGAAAGCTCGGTCCTGATGCTACTTGCTGACCCCTGGCCCGTATCGCCCACCTGCTGTAGCAGGTATCGCACCTGCTGGTGGGTGTAGCTCCCGCATGTTCCCTCGTTGGAGGCTTGAGCACGGATGTAGCAGCACGGATGTGGCTGCTACGGGGTTCCCGTAATACTACAATGACAATTAAAAAGGCCTGAAAGGCCTTCCTGTCCAGATTTGACAGGTAATTGAAATGGTTGGGCTTAAAGAATTAGCCTTTTAAAATTAAGAGAAGAAAAAAAAAAGATCTTGTGAAAAAAAAACACAACAAACGATTATAGTCCGTGGTCCCACGTGATCAGCAATACGCTTACTGGTTCCGGCTGGCCACGTCTGCAGCCCATGTGATCAGCAATACGCTTACTGGTTCCGGCTGGCCACGTCTGCAGCCGACGACGTCTGGTCAAATCACGGAGCCTCACCGCGAATATGGGCCTGGCCTCGCTGCACCTCCCGCCAACCACATCGACGAAAGACCACAATTATGTTTGTTATGGCGGTGCACCCTTTTTTACAACAAACCGTACTTCGCATGTTCTACCGTCTTCCCCCGAATACAACGTACGGTCATTATAGCTGAATTTAGTCTGAATGACAGCCCAAATACAGCTATAATGACCGTACGCTGTATTCGGGGGAGGAAGGTAGGGGGAGATTCATTCTCATTTTGAACATTGGGTCAGGCCATGTCTGTCTGCAGCCGAGAGACTTCTGTGGTCAAATTAAGTGGCGCATGTTGACGGATTCCCGGCCTCATTCAATTCCTTTTTTTTCAGTCCAATTACTTTTTCTTTTTTTTCCAGTTTATGCGGAGTTTTTCATCCGCTAATTACAAATTTCTCGACACGTTTTTTTTTTTTTTTTTTTTTTTTTTTTTNAAAAAAAAAAAAGGTGGCGTGAGTGTGAGCGCGAGTGGGTTGTGTGTGGTGTGTGGGAGAGTGTTGGCCATAGCCTCTGCTGCTACGTGATGAAGGGTGGGGGACGATGAGAAAGGGAGGCACAGCTACTGGCAGGTCTCGGTCTTTGTGTTAGCCAGACCCCCACTGGCGGCCCCAACCCTATTCCCTAACCATTAGGGGCAAGGGGCAACATGAAATCTCCCCTTCACAGAGAGAGGAAAAACTATGCTTGCAGGGGTCCCCTCTAGATAGTCTTAGGAGTAGGTAATGGAAGGTAAACAAAAACAGAAGTTGAGAGAAGAGTATAGAAAGAACAGAAAAAAAAAGAAATGGGGCCTTGCTCTTCCACCCACCAACCAACGAGAGACTTCTAGTAGCGCGAAATTGGGCGTCGCTCCACACACCCCGAACCAAATGCAGGAGAGAGAAAAGCTAACTATTTACGGGTGTGCACCAGACTCAATCCAGACGTTTGGTAAGCCGTGGACCGAGGCCCTAAGCTTGTCTATTGGTGCTGAGTTGGACGCGACTGCAGCCGACGATTCCCGTCAAATCACTTGTCGTGAAGACAGTACACTATCGAGGAGATGGAGAGAAAATATATAAAAAATATATATATATATCTGTTTGTGACGATATATATATATATACCTTCCGCAGGGGCCATTCTAATCTTCTCACCTCACGACTCTCGAAATGCGGAAAAGACAAAAATGTGGCGGGTGCATCTGGCCATGTTCTAGCAGGAGCTTCCTTCTCATTTCGCACATTTCGAGAGTGATCTGGCGGTGCCCTCTATCATTCCATTCGAAACGGATGTCCCGGGGCGTAGTCCAACTAGCAAAGAGGATTAGATCGGATGCCCCAATCTGGACGAGTTTATGGAGATGTGCAGAAAATCGAGATTGAACTGCTTTTCTGCATCTCTGCTTAAACACATCCAGATTCAGGAGCTCGATCCTATCCTTTTTGCTAGTGGGACCTCGGCCCCGAAGGCCAGAGAGAAGAATATAGATCAGTTTAACTTTATTAAAAAAAAATAAAAAAAATGAACACTATCGCCACCATCGTATGGCCATTTGTCACCGAGAGAACTGCTCGCGCCACACGTACTGACGGCATGATCTGAATCCATTGGTGGGGATTGATTGGCCCCACACGTACTGACCTCATGATCGGAATCGATTGGTGGGGATTGATTGGCCCCTAAGAAAGCGGAATGGGAGGAACGCCGCCTCGTTTTTTGTACCGAAGCAGGCAGCTTTGTTCTTGATTTTTATTATTATTATTATTATTATTATTTCTTTTTATAAAAGGGCTATGGCCTTGAGGTAATTTGCGTCAACGGTGCTCAGTTCTTTTTTTCCTTTTTTTTTTTTTTTTAAGGGCGATGGCCTTGAGGTATTATCATCGGACTAACCAGCCCAGGTAAATTCAATCTTGTGTCTAATCTGACAACGGTGGCCTTTTCAGCCCAGGGTGGCCTGATAGCCTTAGGGTGGCCTGATAGCCTTCAGGGAACCCCCAACGGGGGCACCGACCTTAATCACGTCGGAGCTCAGTTTCTTTTTTTCTTTTTTCTCTTTTGGCCTTGAGGTGTTATCATCGGACCACCCAGCCCAGGTAAATTCAATCTTGTGTCTCATCTGACATTGGGTGGCCTTTTCAGCCCAGGGTGGCCTTGATTGCCTTCAGGGCACCCCCAATGGGGGGGAAGGAAACCGGCCAGTGGACAGCCGGTAGCAGAGGAACCGAGCATCATCTGAGTCGCCAGTCGCTGTGCCTACCCTATTACCCCTCCTATCTCTAGGTGGCAGGCCCCAAGCATGCCCAGGAAGGTACATGAGGCCAATGGGGATTGAACCCAAGACCTCCTGAATGCCACTTGCGTGCCTTACAAACTGAGCTACGGTCGACGGATAACCCTGTCTTGTTCAATAAACATCTGACCGAGGTTCAAAAATGCACAACGCCTACCTTCTTCCTCTGAATACAACGTACCGTCATCATAGCTATATTTGAGGCACCTTTCAGTCCAGATACAGCTATAATGACCGTACTTGTGCGCCAAGGCCAGGCCGAGTCATGAAGGACTGGCTGATGAAGTTGCGAGTTGCGCCGCAATCTAGCAAAGCGTTGCAGGCCGCTTGCCCAATCTGAATGCRAACGTAGAGCAACGGTGCGTTGTTTTCTTCGTACCGTTGCGAGACAAACTCGCGGGCCACCTTGGCAAYGYAGCCAAGCATGTCCCCCACCACGACTTCGTCTACCGTCGGCGAAGTTGGTGGTGCATGGAAGGAAAGATACTGGTGTAAGAGGGCGCATAGGGCTGCGCTTTGYGGCCCCGGAAGGTTGCCCRTCGTAGGGAGAGGAATCCAAGCGAAGTCCTCGGGCGTGAGCGGGTCCAAAGCCTCCTCGTTGAACACGCTTGCCGAATCCCTTGATGAAGACGAACTRGCGGAAGAACCTTCGGACGGTGAGAAAGCCGCACATGTATCTTGTCCATGAGAAGCATCCAGTGAAGGAACGAGCCGGGCAGCGAAGTCTTCGAACGAAAGTGGAAGACTCCCGACATCCGCATATGCCTCGGAAGAAAGGGCGGTCGTGCGCACAACCGCTTCCGATGGCGTCGAGGGAGGTGTCGAGTTACCCTCGGCTGCGCCTACTTTCCCTTACGGGGTTTCCCTTTGGTGGGGCAATGTCCAGCATCGTGGATGGTGTTGTTGCACCAAAGGCAGTAACGGTACTTGAGTCTCGTGCGATAAGAATTCGCCGAGAGTCCGTATTGTGCCCAAGGTTCGTCGGCGGCTGATCCGGTGCTCGGTGTAGAGATGGACTGAGTCTTCGTCTTGTCGCGGCCGTGGTTGTTGCGCGGCCGGCCACCTTCCCGGGCAGCTGCCAACACTTCACCCTCGTTTGGTGTTGCAGCCTCGGTAGAAGTAATGCAAGCCACCTTTGGCTTGGGCTGGGTGTCGCTCGTCGTCGTGGAAGATCGGTCGGCGTTGCGGGCTTCGATATTCGTGAGAATGATCCGTGACGCTGTGCTGAAAAGCTTGTCATATATGTCGAGTGTCTCTGCAATCTGCATCAGCGCGTTTTGCAGAGCTGAACACAAGCGCATGATAAACAAGTGCTTGATGGCGYGGAATGCGAGCGGCAGGTCAGGTGTGGAGGCGAGTCTTTGGAACTCGGTAATCCAGTCCTGACTTAGCAGCGTGTTCTGATGGAGCTTGTTGAGCTTGTCCATCGCTTGCAGGTCGGGCGGCTCCACTTGGAATCGCTTGTGCCAGGCATCGGTCAACTCCGGCCAAGTGAGTTTGGTGTGCAGTTCCGACACTGCTACGGCGTGGCTGGTCAAGATGTTGTCCAGCCATGCTTGACACGCACCACCAGATCGGTGGTACAAGCACGGATGTCGATCGTTGTTCGGGACATGGTGCATGTCGAGCCTGAGAGTAAAATGGCGCCACCACGGGATCGGTTCCGTCTTCGACTGATCGCAGAAAACTGGAATGTCATCCAGTTTGGGTGGGCGCCGGGAGGATGCGGCGGCGGGCGTCATGGTGGCAGCAGCCTGGACCTGGGTCTCCAACTGCAAGTTCGTTGCTTGCTGCGACGTTCGAAAGTCCTGATGCACACGCTTGATTTTGCTGACGTCATCCTCCAAAACTTGCACACGGGTGGTAAGGGTGGAAGGCCCTACGGCTGCTACAGCAGCTGGCTGTTCTCCAACGCCTGCAGCCGTGCGAGCATCTGGTCCACTGTCTGCTGCAGGTGAAGGATTTCCTCCTGCTGTAGAGCGCAGGTGGCCACGAGGTCGTGGGAGACCTGCGCAAGGGCAGACAGCCCTTTCTCAGTCTCCGGGGCCCCGTCTGCAGATGTCACTTCCACCCAATGTGCGGCCTCATCGCCGATCACGGTTTCCCGCGTGAACAGTCATTCTTGCTGGCGTGACCGGTGTTCGGCTGCCGCCTGCAGGTCTGCCTCTTCTTGACGAAGTCGGTCTTGTTCCTCCTTCTGTCGCTTGGCCTTCTCCTCTTGTTCGAGCCGATTACGTTCCTTGGCCGCGACGGCGACCCTATCGTTGGCCTCCTGAATGAATGCTGCCAGGCGTTCCTCATAGGCCAGGAGGGATTCTCCCGCCTTCCGGTCCATGGCCTTGGTCTATGATCGAGTGAGGAGTGTCATGCACTACTGTGCCCGCAGTTTGAAGTGTCACCCGAGGGCCAATCTGATGGACTGGCCCAGTACTCGGATTGGAGGGGGAGGAATAGGTAGGAAGTAGACGAATGGGAAGGATCGGACAGAGCCCAATTTGAACAGTTTCCTAATCTAAAAGAAGAAAAACAAAACTTTAAAATTCGAAAAAAGTCTGTCCAATCTCACTCAGTACCGAAGGTGATGCAAAAAGCAAATGTGGACCTTTGGTGCTCGGACTGCAGAGAATCAGCAAAGAAGGGTCCTTATAACTCAGAGTAGGAGTAGGTTGCAAACAGAAAAAAAATGTCTTTTTTTTTTTGAAAAAAAGAACGGAATTTGCAGACCTACGCAGTGAAAGTGTAGAGGGACAGTTTCGGAAAAAGAATCGCGAAATTATCAAAGTGCAGTAATTTAACAATTAAACATGGTCAAAAAAAAAAAAAAAAAAAAAAATTCGCGGAAAAAAAATTCTCGGAACGGAAAAAAAATTCTCGGAAACCAAATTTCTCGAAACAATAATTTTTCGGAAAAAAATAAGAATTTCTTGAAAAAACAATTCTCGGAAAAATAAATAATTTCTCGGGGAAAAAAAAATTCTTGGAAAAAGAAATAATTTCTCGAAAAAAAAAAAAATTCTTGGAAAAAGAAATAATTTCTCGGGGAAAATAAATAAATAATTAATTCCGGGAAATTTCCAAGATTAAATAAACAATTGCCAAATAATCAATCAACTTAATCAATCAATCAATCAATCAATCAATCAATCAGTCTCAGATGATTGCTGGTTGATTGATCGATTGTTCGATCAATCTCCTGATTGACTGATCAATCAATCGAAGATTGATTGATTGGTGGCAAACCACCAATCCAATCAATCAATCGATTGATTGGTTGTAGCCAAGATTCATGGCACTAGCTCCGATACCACTTGTAGCATATCAGAAAGTGAAATGCACTGAAAGCCTAGGATCTAGCAATGACGAAAGTGGCAACAACCAGCAGCATAGGTGCAACATTCACAAGGTGTCAATGTGCGCGACGCAAAGAGTGAAAAAACGGGAAATCAATAACAACACATTCGTATCATCATCATCATAGGCTGGAAAGCAGCGCAGCGGAAGATTTAGTATCAAAGGACACGTGGACAACAACATGAAAAGGAGAAAACTTCGGAAGGGCAAGACATCAGAAAGATTGCCCTTCCGCTCACACACATGGGGCGAGATCCATAGACATGCGAGAGAGAAGGGGGAGGGACGGAGGTAACCAAGTCCAACCCAAGTCTGATCTCCGAATGTCGCACACAGTTCAATCCCAATGTAGAGTGCAAGTCCGACCTGAATGTCGTGTCCAATAAGGCAGAATGCCGTGTCCAAACATTATCTCTATCTCTACTCTGATAAAGAAGAAGAAGAAGAAGAAGAAGAAGAAGAAGAAGAAGAACTTCGGAGGAGTAGGAGGAGAGGAGAGGAGAAGAAGAAGAGGGAGAAGAAGAAGAGGGAGAAGAATAAGAAGAAGAAGAAGAAGAAGAAGAAAGCTGGGTGCTTTCTGCACTTACCTGGCGATGGCTGAACTTGCAGGTACCGCGGAGCCAGCTATGGCGCTGGGCAGGTAAGTCCTCTTCTCTCTCTCTCTCTCTCTCTCTCTCTCTCTCTCTCTCTCTCTCTCTCTCTCTNAATGTGCGCGACGCAAAGAGTGAAACAACGGGAAATCAATAACAACACATTYGTATCATCATCATCATAGGCTAGGAAGCAGCGCAGCGGAAGATTTAGTATCAAAGGACACGTGGACAACAACATGAAAAGGAGAAAACTTCAAAAGGGCAAGACATCAGAAAGATTGCCCTTCCGCTCACACACATGGGGAGAGATCCATAGACATGCGAGAGAGAAGGGGGAGGGACGGAGGTAACCAAGTCCAACCCAAGTCTGATCTCTGAATGTCGCACACAGTTCAATCCCAATGTAGAGTGCAAGTCCGACCTGAATGTCGTGTCCAATAGGGCAGAATGCCGTATCCAAACAATATCCTTATTTTACTCTAATAAAGAAGAAGAAGAAGAAGAAGAAGAAGAAGAAGAAGAAGAAGAAGAAGAAGAAGAAGAAGAAGAAAAACAAGAAGAAGAAGAACTTCGGAGGAGTAGGAGGAGAAGAGGAGAGGAGAAGAAGAAGAGGGAGAAGAATAAGAAGAAGAAGAAGAAGAAGAAGAAAGCTGGGTGCTTTCTGCACTTACGTGGCGATGGCTGAACTTGCAGGTACCGCGGAGCCAGCTATGRCGCTGGGCAGGTAAGTCCTCTTCTCTCTCTCTCTCTCTGTCTCTCTCTCTCTCTCTCTCTCTCTCTCTCTCTCTAACTCTACTACCCTCCTCGGCGCTGGACGCCTCCTGCGCTGTGCCTCATGGCCGATGAGCAGTGCAGCTGCAGTCTCGAAATGGCGAAGCAAGAAGTCTCCAAAATAGCGCAGCAGCCAAGTTCCTGAACCAGCATAACGCTGGATTTCTCCTGGTACCTTCTGCGTCCGAACTGGGCAATGGCCCAGCTTAAGTAGTGCTGGGCCAGGACTGAAAACCCACGGCCGGCGTTCTGGACCGTGCAGATCGAAACTCCGATCCACGGTCCAGATCGCAGGCTTCGAAAACTGGTTCAGTCCTTGGCCTAAAACGGCCTACCTGGGTCCCTACTGGACGTCCAGGCCCTGTCCAGGATTAATCTTCCTGGTACCTGGCTTCAAACCGGTCCTGTGCGGATGTACGCGGCCTCAACGTCGGCCTGGGTTTGAACAGGTCCAAATCTGTTCGAAAACAAAAGAAAAGGTCCAAACGTTTTTAGGAGCTCAGCCTCTGGGCCTGAATCTGGCCCTGGCCCTAGAAGCGTGTACCTGGCCACAAAACGGACAACAGTACACCCGTTAGAAAAACAGCAGCAAATAAATAAAATAAAGACTATAAAAATAATCTAAAGCTGGCGTTTTTCTGATGCAGGCCCAAGTAAAAATGCCATAGGGCCTTCAGGTTGCGGTAACGCGACCTGGGGGCCCTATTCCAACCTCGGGTCCCGTGAGGGGCCCGTGTGTAGGCTTTCAGCATGTAACACGCCCCCCTCCTTATGAAGACGAGTCGGGGCGCGGGCGAAGCTGCCGATCGAGGATGGCGAGGAGCTGGAGTGCTCTGCGTAGTCTTCCTTTTGCTAAGATAGCGTGAGAGAACGACGGGGGCTGTGGCCTGCAGTTCCGAACGCGTCAGCCAACGGTCAGCCTTGTGGCTGCAGTAGGAAAAATGAAGTAGAAACTCTGTTTCTTTGTTGCCATGACGCCGGTCGGTGATGATGTAGCCGGCCTCCTGAAATCCGTCCATGGAAGGAGGGTCTTGCGTACGTCGACCGGGAAACTCGTCGGACTCCGCTGAAACAAAAGGAGCGAGTTTGGAACAGTGGAACACCGTGTGGACGGGCAAGTGAGGTGGCATTGCGATGCGGAATGAGGGCTCATCGGGATCATCACCAACTGCAGAGAGAATGCGCCAAGGCCCCATCCACTTGGGAAGGAGCTTGCGAAAGATGTCTTGCTCAAGGCTGAACTCCGCTGCGGAGACCCAAACCAGATCGCCGGCGCGGAACGGGCAAGGAAGGCGATTGCGGTTGGCTTGACGGCTCATCCRTATTTGCGTCTTCGACATCTGATCCTGTGCCTTGACAAGAAGCTCTTGCATGCGACGAAGGAACGCAAGATGGTCGTCGCTCTCGGCTGTGCGCGGCAAAGTACTGTCCAACGGCGATGAGATGGGTGAACCATGCTCAAACTGGAATGGCGACATCCCGATAGCCGGGTGGATCGATGAGTTGTAAGCCAACTCAACGTCTTGCAAGCGCTCAACCCAATCAACCTGGTCGGGATGGATGAGAATGCGGAGAAGGACTTGAGCGGTCTGATGCGCCCTTTCCGTTTGACCATCGGTTTGCGGGTGGCGCGCCGAACTCGGGTTCAAAGATGAGCCCCATCGCTTGACGAGGGCGACCCAAAAGTCGAAGAGAAAGCGAGTTTCCCGGTCGCAAACGATCTCCTTGGGAAAGCCCTTGGAGCGAGTCCAACCGGCGTATAAAACCTCGGCCAACTCTGGTGCCTTTGCGTGATAGCGGCAAGGCAAAAACATGGCGTACTTGGTGAGGTGGTCGACGACCGTATGGATCCCATCAACGCCGGTCTTGTGCTTCGGAAAGGGGCCGGTGATATCCATAGCAATTGCTTCTCGTCGCCCAAGGGGCACTGGTAATGGGTGTAGCTCACCGTACGAACGATGGTTGCGTGACTTGCAACGCCGACAGACTTCGCACGACTCACAATAGCGGGTGGCGTCCTTGAGAAGGTTGGGCCAATAGAACCGCTGGCGAAGTCGGCCAAGTGTACGGTTGACACCAAAATGTTCAGAGGTGGGCGCATCGTGAAACTCACCAACAAGCCGTGTGCGTAAGTGTGAATCACTCGACACACAAAGAAGATCCTTACCCCGTGAATGCACAAGTAAGTAGCCCTCTTGGATCCGATAATGCGAAGGCACCGGATTCGGAGAGGAGCAATTCGCGTACTTGTCGCGAAAGTGGGGGTCGGCTTGATAGCCGCGGATGAAGCTTTCCCGCAAGTCGTCGTCGATCTCAAAGGTAGAGTAGACTGCGGTGCAAAGATCCGGTCGCCGTGAGAGGGCGTCCGCAAAACGGTTTGACTTTCCGGGAATGTGATCGGGGAAAAAGTTAAACTGGTCGATGAAAGCCATCCAACGGGCAATGGTACTGTTAATCGTGTCTTGCGACTTGTAGAATACCAACGGATTGTTATCCGTTACCCATCGGAATGCTTTCCGACCAAGGAGGAAATGTCGCCAACGCTTGAGGGCGAGGACGAAGGCAAGAAGTTCCTTCTTCCGTGCGTCGTCGATCGAATGCACGGGAGGTACTTTCTTGCTAAAGTACTCGACCGGGTGCCAGTTCGTGCCATCGTGCTGCTCAAGGACAGCCCCAATGCCATAGCCCAACGCATCGGTAGTGACGCGCGTAGCTAGAAGCGGGTCGTAAATATGTAACACCTCAGCGGACAAGAGTGCCGCTTTGAGTTTCTCAAAAGAATGACGCGCGTTCTCGTCGAAGTCAAAAGGCCGCTCCTCGCTTTGTAACTTGCTTAGGTTGGCCGCGATCTTCGAGTAACCCTTGATGAAGTGCTGAAAATAACTGGCCAAGTCGAGGAAGGATCGGACGTCCGTCAGATTCTTCGGCTCGGACCACGCCTGGATGGCTTGAATCTTGTCCGCCAACAGACGAATGCCTTCCGGAGAGACAAAATGACCCAAGTATTCAAGCTCTTGCCGGACAAACTCGCATTTGTCGCGGTTAGCTTTGTACCGGGCTGACCAAAGAGTCTCTAGAACACGGCGAAGGTGCTCGAGATGCTCCTCTAGAGTTCGGCTATAGATGAGGATGTCGTCTAAGTAGACCAAAACGAAGTGGTCCAACATAACGCGAAACTCGGTGGTCATGGCCGCCTGAAAGGTGGCCGGGGCATTGGTGAGGCCAAAAGGCATAACTACCCACTCAAAATGCCCATATCGCGTCTTAAACGCGGTTTTGTACCGATCTTGCGGGCGGATGGAAATCTGATGGTAGCCCGACTTGAGGTCCAACTTCGAAAAGTACTTCCCGCCGCCCAAGCGCTCAAGCAAATCGTCAATGTGAGGTAGAGGCCCCGCATTCTTGATGGTTTGCGCGTTGAGGCATCGGTAGTCAATGCAAAGTCGAAGGTCCTTGTTCTTCTTCCGAACGAAGAGAACGGGCGCACCGTAAGGTGAGCTGCTAGGGCGGATCCAACCTTTGTCGAGTAGATCGTCGAGCTGCGCACGGAGAACCGTGAGCTCCTCCTCGGACATGCGATAATGCATCCTTTCGGTGGCACGGCGCTGGCCTCAAGTATGATCTCGTGAGAGATTGGCCGGTCCGGCACTATACCGGAGGGTGTCTCAAAAACATCCGAGAACTCGTCTAACAACCAGGTCACACGGGGGTCGGAAGACACTTCTGTGGACGATGAATCAGTCGTCGGGACGGTTCGAAGCAAAGCGATGCCAATCTCTTCAACATGCTTGGAACGTCATGTGTCTCGAAAAGATTTGGCACTCACGACTTGGGACCTAATGGAAATTCGAGGAGGAGGAATAGTACACGATACCTCGGTGCCAGTTGCATTCCGAATCGTGAGCGTGCGTCGATGGAAATTGACCGTGTGGTCCGCGCTAGAAAGCCAAGGCATCCCCAAAATGACATCGAAGTCAGTGTCCAACACGTCAAAAGTGACGGGTTCACATGCGTGCGGTGCAAAGTACACCGGGACAGCCGAGATGTAACGGTCTAAAAGCTGTTTCGACTTACCGTCAGCAAGAGCGACCGTTGTCGGATGTGACTTCCTCCGTACTTGTGCGCCAAGGCCAGGCCGAGTCATGAAGGACTGGCTGATGAAGTTGCGAGTTGCGCCGCAATCTAGCAAAGCGTTGCAGGCCGCTT